AGAGTTCAGGGTTAGTAGTGTGTTAGTAGTGTGTATAGGGGTTAGGAGAAAGTAACACATATTGCAGAGGTCAGGACTTTGTAACACAGAGTGCATAGGTCAGCAGTATGTCAACCCTTTCACCAATGCTTCCCAGCCCTTTAACAGCTTCTAGATGCTGGTAGGCAGAGGTGGGGATTTTGTTTCATGTGACTGCTGTGATTGGCTGTCACAGAAATCATATGGAATGCTTCCAATGGTTAGTATGCATTGGTAGCTTACTGATCACTGCTGGCTACCATGCTGGGAGTGTGCAAGGAGTGCGCTCTCAGCATTGTAAGTGGATTATACAGTGCCGCATATATGTTAATGCCACCCGCTGAAACACAATATGCGTACGGCCAGCACCAATTGGTAAAAATGGAGTTCCAGTCGTTTTTGTGTTTATTAAAAGTCAGCAGCTACAAAAACTGTAGCTGCTGACTTTTAATAAACACACACTTTCCTGTCCCGGGGCACAGCGATGTACTCACACACGCAGTCCCTTCTCTCCTTCTGTCCTCCACGGCACCGGCATCTCTACTGTGGGCACCAGGCTGTGACAGCTTGCGGCTTCACAGCCTGGTGCCCACTGCACATGCACGAGTTGCGCTGTGCTTCCTGATTGGTCCCAGGAGACTGCAGAAGCAAGGAGGGGGCCAAACCTCTGTGTCACTTCACCACGGCGAAATGAGCTGGAAGTGGAAGCGGGTACCTGTCAAAACCAGGTATCCACTTCCCCTTCCCCCCAAAAGGTGCCAAATATGGCAGTGGAGGGGGGGGGGGAGGAGGCAAATAATTGGAGATTCTGATTTAAGTTCAGTGCAAGGTTTAGAAATAAGTAACACAGTGGTCAGTGACTTGTAACACACAGTGCAGAGATCAGGAGTAAGTATCGTAGACTAATAAATAAAAAGTGAGCGCTCCAAAACCAGCAGCTAATGCACTCAAGGTAATCTCAGCAAACCTTAAAACATGAAAACTTAAATAGAAGTGCAGCGCTAGATAAAATTGATGAATAAAAAATGATAGTGATAATATATGAAATAATAAAATGTCCCATACATGTTAAACATGCATAATTAAGCAGTTCATAAAATAAATAACAGGTGATCCACTAGATGCAGCCGTATAACAGGAGAAGCTGTGTCAGGGACAAGTGATAAAAATGCGCACTCACCGGACGCGCTATAATCAAGCGCATGTAATCAATATCCAATCGGATCCCTTAGGAAGGTGGAGAAGGTGAGCATCCATCTAGAGGTAAGTAATCCTGATATTCTGTCTCAATGGTATACGGTGAAGGCTTCCAGGTCCAGAGATCCCCTTAACGCTGAATGGGTGCATGTACTGGATACAGAGCTCCCTCCCTCTGGTGGTGGTGGTTAATGGTGAGATGTCCTGGAAATCAATTAGCTCCAATGAGAGCCAAAAACGGTGCCCATAGTGTAGTAAGGTTAAAGACTTTATTTCAAAAAGATGCAGTGTAAAACAGGGTAGTAAACACTCCCAATGTATCAATGATAGATGCAGAGTAGTACTGACCTGGTTGGCCTCCCCTCTGATGATGTGCATTGCACGAAAGGCCTTAGTAGGAGCCAACAGAGCGTGACGTCATAGCCGCCCGGAGCCACGAGGAGGCCCATCGGCCATCTTTACTAAGGGGTCAGTACTACTCTGCATCTATCATTGATACATTGGGAGTATTTACTACCCTGTTTTATACTGCATCTTTTTGAAATAAAGTCTTTAACCTTACAACACTATGGGCACCGTTTGTGGCTCCCATTGGAGCTAATTGATTTCCAGGACATCTCACCATTAACCACCACCACCAGAGGGAGGGAGCTCTGTATCCAGTACATGCACCCATTCAGCCTTAAGGGGATCTCTGGACCTGGAAGCCTTCACCGTATACCACTGAGACAGAATACCAGGATTACTTACCTCTAGATGGATGCTCACCTTCTCCACCTTCCTAAGGGATCCGAGTGGATATTGATTACATACGCTTGATTATAGCGCGTCCGGTGAGTGCGCATTTTTATCACTTGTCCCTGACACAGCTTCTCCTGGTATACGGCTACATCTAATGGATCACCTGTTATTTATTTTATGAACTGCTTAATTATGCATGTTTAACATGTATGGGACATTTTATTATTTCATATATTAGCACTATCATTTTTTATTCATCAATTTTATCTAGCGCTGCACTTCTATTTAAGTTTTCAAGTATCGTAGACTGCATGGGTCAGGATTAAGTAACACAGCATAAATAGAGCAGTTGTGAAGGAGACAGAGCATATGAAAAGGGTATCTTTCACCCCACTAGCGATGCCTGTGCCTTTTGGAGGAGCTCATGAAAGTGAAATTGACACCAACTGCTCTGGTCAACAGCTTAGCAGTATTCATCTCTACCTTTCTTTTTGAAAGGGGAGTCTACAGTTTAGGCAGAGTGGAATGTGGGGAAGATCAAGTGCTAGTGACACAAGGGGATTGCAATCTCCTCATCACATGGCCAAGATATGTAAATCATGATCAATGTATTGCCAACCCCTGCTCTGATCCTATAATCTGATGGGGTCTAAGGGGAAAAAAACAGCTACTCAACTTCACTTACTTAGCCACCTCCTTGCTCAAAGTTAATTGGACAATGAAGAAGCTGCACCACTCTAATGAGGTCACCCCTGAGTTTTGCTCTCATGTGAGCAGGTTTAGTATTTTTGAGTCATCAACCTGGAACATGTAGGAAGACCTGGAGTTCTGGGTCACTTTAACATGTTGTGTTTGATGACATTGGTCCCCCCCCATGAATGGATGTTAGAAAGGGCAGGAAGCTAGAAAAGGTCCTTAGAAGACACAATGGATAATGCTCTCTGAATGACACGTAAATGTAAAAATGACTTACACGATTGTTATTAGTTATTATTGAACTGGCAGAATTTTGCACATTTTTGCCTTGCAAATATCAGAGTTGGAGGTGGGGAATTTACATATCATTTTTTTCTTTCATTTTTATATTAAAGCCTATATAAAATATGTAGCAACTGAGGCATTAGCGTTTACTGATTGGCCAACTCAGCAAAAAAAGAAATCAATTTGTGACCAGAAAGTTGAAAGACATACAGAATGCTTTTCTAAGCATTTTTAAAACACAAACTTTGAGAGAAATTTACTAAGACTAGAGCAACCCAAATCTAGAGCAGCTATGCATTGCAACTAATCAGCTTTTAGCTTTAATTTTTAAAGCGCAAAGTCTTACGAAACCCATGACCCTTCATTCTCTATATCTGGTCTCCCACAGTACACCGAACATGGAAATACAATTATTTTAGTAAATATAAACTGCTAAATACCTTTTCTCATCAGCAGTTACAGCCGTCTTGTGATTTCCATCAGTGTCCAGCAGAGCACTGGTTAAAGCTTGTATATGAGTTTTCATTCTCCCCTGATTGACGTCTGAGGCTGCAGGACCCCTTATCCTCTGTCTGGACAGTGCTGATTGGCTCTGTGCTGATCACATACACTTTCCCAAGGAAAAAAATTTTTTTTTTGAAAAATAAACACAAAACTGAGCATGTGCAGCTTGCCCCCAAGGCTTTGTTCTATCAGCAGATGGATTGGGGACTGTGGAAGAAGGGGAGGATCAGAAAAGACAGGATCAAACATCCTTTTTACACAATGCAGAGGATTAGGTTCCACAGTGAGTATAACAAGCATGCTTTACAGCATATACAGGCTGATTTTACTGATGTGGGTTTAATAACACTTTAACAGTACAAACGATGATGCACACTACACACACTATGCACAGCTGCTCCAGATTCTGTCTGCTCCAGTTTTTATGAATTTCCCCTTCAAAATGTATGTTAAAGCCAGTCACTATTTGTGACAATGTTACCACACATTAGACAAAAGGATTGATGAAGTAGCACTGATACCAAATACACAAGCAGTTTCAGTGCTCACAGAACATTGTAATTGAAGTACAGTACTTAATATTCTTATTTGCAAATTTGAAAAGTAACAAAAAGTTGGATATGGTTGCAGTTTCAGTCAAACACTAGCTCACAAAAATGGACTTATCTCCATTGCTTATGTTCATGGTATTATGTTCTTTAATATTATCCAACCAGTAGATGCGTTTACGTTTGCGGAAAGATAAACTACAAACTCAGCAGTAACTGGAGTTTAACAAATGCTGACTAAAATGTGTGATATTTAAATTGTCTCAATTTTTGCTGAGCAAAAAGAGACTTCTATTTTCAATCCACTGCATAGCTAATGAGATGCATTACAATGACAATTACCATCACATATATATTCTTTTTTATATAGTTTTTACTCCCTAGTGGTTGTCTCATGAATGCAATGAGAATATCAGCTTTGTAAGGCAATATCCATTGCTCTTTCATTCAAAATGTCATTCACATGCTATTTAGGCTAGGGCAGTTGTTGGTCCAGTTAGTTGACCCAGACTGTTATTATGAGTTACATTATTTACTATAAATATGTATTTTTGTTCCATTATGTATTATTTTTCCAGTGGTTACATACATTGGCATACTTTACTCATATTATGAGTATATCTTGCTGTCATACTGTATATGTGCTGGATCCCATAGTGCAATTTGATCACTGTACTTACAAAATAGTACAGGGTATCCAAGGTTGTAAAAATGTAACTATTAGGTTAATCCATTGAACAAGGTATTGCAGAACAGAAGCTCATTTCTAATTATATTTTAAAGTGAAACAATACAAAATGTTTGTAATTCTGTCTATCCAGTCCTGTTATTTAGGCAACCTTGCTACAGTATACTGTATATCTAATTCGCTGAACTCACTATTCTGCATTGCAGTTGAAACCTAAACCCAAAGGCAAACATTTAATATATTGCAGCTTAACAATCCTTAAAAGAGATGTAGGAGATTTTTTCCTCCCCCAATTATACTTACCTAAGTGGATGCAGCATTGGTCCGATCAGGGGCAGACTGATCATTTGGAAACTCGGGCACTGCCTGAGGGCCCGGGGTCAGTAGGGGGCCCCATGAGATGCCCCTGGTACCTTTTTCATAGGCTTTTTTGAGTTTGGGCAAGGACACAGGGGCCCCATGATCCCCTATTGCCCAGGGGCCCCATGATTAGTCAGTCCGCCCCTGGGTCCGATGCGGCATCTGTCCCCGATTAGCTCTAAGTATGAGAACTCAGCGATCACATGACTGCTGATCTCCGAGTTCGCACAGCCGCTCTGGGCAGAGAATGCTGGCTGTCAGTCACCGCTGTCTGCTCTGCCCCACGCTCACTGGAGTGCTGGGCTGTGGAGGGGGAGGGAGAGGCTGGCTCAGACTCTCAGCGGCTCACTGAGAGTCTGAGCCAGGTGCCGCTCCAGCCTCTGGGGTGGATCCCCACTTTAAAGTTAGGATCTTTTCCCAGCCTGGACCAGCTGAATGACGTCAGCCAAGACCAGGCTTCAGCCCGCTGTCAGCTGAAAACTGGTCTTGGGAGTGCAGAATGAACTGCACTCCAGTGATCCACAGGAAAAGTACAACCAAAAGAGCTTTGGCTGTCCTTCTCCTTTAAATATAGTAGCTGCATTTTTTAGGATTTTTTTTCCTTTTTTTCCTTCAGCTAGTACAGCAGAAGTGGCAGTTAAAGGGTTGAGACAAACTACTTAACACTGGCAGGGGTGCTTACAAATGGTCAGCGTTAGGCAAAGCATATGCAAAACCTGTATACTAAAAGAAAAAAAGGCAGCTCTAACTGCAAAGTGTTGGCTGAAGTTTGGATTAAATTTGTTAGACAAGTTCATTTATATCTGCTGATGCATCGAATGCTACCGTTTCCACTGACTGACAATGCTGCTCTACAAGGGTGTCTCCATTGCTCCTCCATCCAGAGTGGAAGCACTCTAAGTGCACACAGGAAGTGTGTTACTGGCCAGATCACCAGGAGAAATAAAGAGGAAAAAATCCTTTAACCTGCATTAGCATATTGGTAAAGTCATTATTCCCTCATGGCTAGATGTGGATGTGATATTTGGCATTCACATCTCAATCTGACCATTGAACCAAGATTTTCAACAATTTGATTAGATCTAGAAAATAATGATCTTTTCACCAATACTGTGATATTTTAACTGATTTCACAGCACAAAATAAAAAAATGAAAATGATTACATGGTCTTGCATAATCTCCTATTTCGTGCAAGAGATTGTCATTATATTGTTTCAATGTATTCTCAAGTCAGAAGACGTTCTGTTTTTGGAATATTTTTGAAAAATATTCCCTGGGGCACAAAATGATCCTTTTCACAGCGAAAGTCAGTGGCTTCTACCTGACTTTGGCCATTTAAAGTGATTGGGTGGAATCTGGAAAATTTGCAATTAGCTCTGTATGGAGTGGTCAGTTTTAATATCTAAAAATGCTAATCAGGGCTTTTTTTTCTCAGAGAATAGGTGCAGGAACTCCCCACCTTTTGAGTCACCCCTGGTCTCCGCCCTTGGTTTTACCTCCTACCCACCTCCCAGTACAACCCCTTTTACAGAATACAGAATAAAGTATAATTTTCAAGTAATTGAAAATATCAAGTAATTAGTATGTAATGTGTTAACGATAACAAGAAAAGCAGTAAAATACAGTAGATCCCGTGCAGCCAGCAACAATTGATCCCCTACACAATAGACCCCCCCAGCAACAATAGATACCCTACAACAAAAAACACCCCAGTAATTATAAACCGCTAGCAGCAACAACAGATCTCCCAGCAGCCAGCTCAATATGCCCACCAGCAGCCAGCAACAACAGACCCCTTCATCAATCCCTCCAACAACAACTGACCCCCCAGCAACAATAGACCCCCACGCAAAACTAGATTCCTATCAGTGATAATAGATCCTCCAGCAGCCAGCATCAATAGACCCTCCAGCCCACCCCAGTACCCCTTGCCATTACATATGTTCACTGCTGGAGGTGCCAGAACTGCGTTCCCCCGCGTTCCCACTGAAAAAGAGCCCTGATGCTAATGAAGTAATTTGACTGAATGGCGGATCAGAGAAAAAACAATGAGTGTACAGCTGAATTACATATTTACAAGTTCTCCACAGCTCAGACAGTCATAAACATGTGGAAGAATACATTGTGAAGTAGTGTTGCTAAGCAGAAATAATGGGGTTGATTTACTGAAACTGGAGAGTGCAAAATCTGGTGCAGCTCTACATAGAAACCAATCAGCTTCCAGCTTTATTTTATTTTTATTTTTTTTGTCAAAGCTTAATTGAACAAGCTGAAGTTAGAAGCTGATTGGTTATCATGCAGAGCTGCACTAGATTTTACTCTCTCCAGTTTTAGTAAATCAACCCCAATGTGTCCACTCTTTCTTGTTAGCATATATAGCACTCTATTATCTAGGGAGCAAAAACAATAAATTATTCTGGTTTATGAAGTTAGCCATTTATACAGCCTTTTTAGATTAAAAAAGAGACACAATTGCTAAAATATTATTAGAAAAATAAACACCAATCATTTTTTACAGAAGCCCAAGACTATCAAGGTTTGTAAGATGCTCTGGTAAGGGACGGGGTCAATGTAGAGATTGTACTGCCTACTGTATCTTTCTTGTTCTTCTCATAGGTCCTAAAAGGGATTTCATTCATTTTTATATTTTAATAGGAAATTTGATGTAAAGTAATACAGACCTATTTGTGTTCCAGGAGATGTAAACATCGGTATGGTGGACAGGAATGGTCAGCTTGAAGTGGAAGTGATCCAGGCTAGAGGCCTTACTCCAAAACCTGGCTCCAAAGCAATTCCAGGTAAATGACAGTATGCAGGTAGGAAGTGTGGTAGTTAAGCCTACCTTTGTAAAGGGATTTCAATGCAAGGTGTTGGGTTTTTCTAAAAAGCCATGTTTTTTACATTTCTAATTAAATCAGAATTTTAGAGGCATTTCAGATGCCTCCTCCACAGCATAGATATGGGATATGGAATACAAAAGTAGAAATGACATGTAAGAGAATGCACATATATTTAATTTTTTTTGGATATCTTATGAGTGAAGTGATGTTGATGGGGGGGATTGGGCTTTCATCTAAAAGCAGGTGGGGTTTGGAGTGGTGTGAGCAGTTGGTATAAAGTTTGTTAGATGTATGTAATCGAAAGTGTGCATGGAGCACAACATTTGTAATGTACCTAAAAGAGATCTAGACCCAGACAACTATATCCTCCAAAAATTGGCTATTCTCAATTTTTCCATTTAACAGTGTCTCTGTGGAACAGCTCTGCCTCTTCCTAGACTCACTCCCACCCACACCCCCTACTCCAAATATACAAAGTGCGTTCTACACTAATCAAACTTCTGATAGGTTCCAATAGGGCTTGAACACATAAGGGTCCTCAGGCACTGTCACATGTGTGGAAGTGCTCTTCAGCTTCTAATTGGGAATTATATGCTAAAGATTTATTTAGTATTTGCTTTCTCACTTTAAAACATACTAATGAATCCCTATTATACAACCAAATTTTACATTATAAGTAAAGGTCCACTCTAACGTAACTACTAAAAATGGCATATAGACGTAACATTTTTTTTAATCATAAAACAAATAGTCGTCCTTTTACTTTAAAAACCTGTGTAGGTTTACAATATTCTCTTAAATAACACAATTAAAAATTACCAGCAAATTCCACAGAATGTAAAAAGTGTGGTGGACTGTTTAACCCCTTTACAACAGCTATATGCATGTATATGAGGTGGCAGGTCACATATATGCATTGCTGTCTTCAGGGTTGGTGCTAGACTATTTTGCACCCTAGGCAAGACCAGCTACTTTCTCCCCCCCAAAAAAAAAGTCTGTGTGTTATCTGATGTACCTCTGCCACCTACAAGTCACTGAGCTCCCTACACGTGGAGACGCCTGCTCTGATGGCTGGAAAGAGAGGGAGAAAGGGGCGTGCAGCAGACCAGGGGAGCACACAGGGGCCGGGGGCAGGAGAAGGAAGAGGAAGCTGGACAGGAAGGGTGGAACTTACTAGAACTATTCAGCTGTATTTTCCTCCTGCAGCGGCTGCATGCTGGTGGGAGGGAGAGAAAGAGAAGATGACATTCAGCTGCTGCAGGAGGAAAATACAGGGGAATACTTCTAATAAATGCCACCCCTCCTGTTCAGGTGTGACATTGAAGCCGCAGACCCCCCTCTGAAGCTACATCTCTGGTCTGGTCTGAATAATGTGTCCAGTTTCAGGTGGACTGATATCCGAACACGATTCAAAACCTGGATTGTCCAGGTGAATCCCAGACAGGTCTCTTCAGCTCCTGTGGATATAGAAGTCCAGCAGAAGCTGTCAGGGCACACTAGGAGTTCTGGTTCCACAACAGCTGGTGGATGACAGGTTCACTTGCAGCTCATAGTGAGTCCTCAGCTTCTACTCACCACATCCAGGGCTCTGGCACTGAAGATCCTCTGGGGCAAGGTCTTCATCAGCACATCTGTTTCCTGCACCTTCACACAGGCCCTGAACAGCAGAGCGATGTCCGTGTGTGCAGAAGAAATGTCCCCTGGGAGCGAGGCATGGTCATCAGAGTTCCTAGCCAGCTACTGCCGGGAAGAGGAGGGGGGAGTACAGGTCACCAGGGAGAGCAGCACTGGTCAATGCAGGGTAGTGGGACACCTGGGGAATCTCCACCACAGAAACCCCCACAACTCCTCAGTCAAGGCTGAAAAATGTGGCAACCCTCGGAATGATGCCCTGTGTCTGTGTCATTCCCTGCACCATCTGAAAAGCTGGTGGGAGAGGAGACATAGACACAGGGCATCATCCTTGTGATTGCTCCCCCTGCTTGCTCACAACTGGATTTCCCTACTTTTCAGGTCCCTGTGTGCCCTGGACCCCTATAGGAGGATCAGTGATACTCCCCCTATCGGCGGCCCTGAGCAGCAGCAATCAGGACACCAGCAAGCCCTCTCATCTCTCCAGCCATGGCGATGAGCTGGGATCTGAAGGAAACTTCATAGCTAACAGTCCTAGGCCAGGCCTGTTCCCTCTGTGTATTCCAAGGTGAATGCTGGGAGCCTGGGGGGCGACAAGGAGGAGAAGGAAAAAGTGAGGCAAAGGTTGGCTGCACCCTAGGGGGCAATGCACATTAGGCAGTTGCCTAGTGGTAGTGCCTGCCCTGGCTGTCTTGTTCTAGGGCACACAACATTGACACCCCCAGAACTGTGAATGAGCTGTCATGGACACAGTCAAGTACCAATGATCTGGAGCTGGTAGGAAGGTCTTCTGATGATATCAGCATGGTGGAGTCAGTTACAGTGCTGCACAATCTGGAGCCCCTCCTACAGGCCTGGGCGTCACTCCACATTTAGAATGCTGGCTCCTACCAATGCAAAGGGTTTTTTTTTCAAATATCTGAAAATATTGCTGAGCTAAAGGGTTGGATCCAGGTTTTAAAGACCCAGGTTTTGATAATGACCCTCTTGTTCTTTTTTTTATAACTTAAAATTATTTTACTTTTAATGTACAGCCCCATATATCAAGGTCTACCTGATAGAGAATGGAGCTTGTCTGTCAAAGAAGAAGACAAGGACAGCAAAGAAAACTTGGGATCCAGTATATCAACAGTTCTTCTGTTTGATGAAGGACCTCAGGGGAAGGTATTACAGGTGAGCTCCAGAAAATCAGCATACCAACTACAAAATTATTTCTGTACACAAAAACAATACATTTAATGCCATTATTATTGTTTATTATTTATTCAAAATTCAGTTAGCATATGTTAGGAGGTATACACAAATGTTTGGGCTCCATAGCCAACTTTATGGACCCTAAACTGTAGCGAGGAGCTGTAGAGACAAATACTGCATAGTTTACCATCTGCCTGCAAAAGAACAGAAGGGATATACCAATGTACACTATGTACAGATACCCATTTCTGAATTGTTATAGATCACAAGCAGACAACACTAAATATATATTCATTTTTACAAATTGACCAGTGTGCTTTTTAAGCTAAGGTAGGAAATTAGATGGCTCCTGTCTAAATTGTCCTAGTTTCATCCCTGGCCATGTGGGATCTCCTGCATGGTAGGGTTGGGGAAAGACCTGGCAACCTACCCTGTAAAATAATTGCTAAGAGAATTCATGGAAAAAGTCGCTTACGAGTGACGGTCCATGCAATCGCCAAGGGTCAGATACGACTGAATAATAGATAGATAGATAGATAGATAGATAGATAGATAGATAGATAGATAGGAAATTAGAGTGGGTCTTGCATGTCTGTATACCCTATACTGTGGAGGAAATGATGCACACATGCACTAGGATACTAATCCATTAATTAATACCTTTCACAATTTGATGTATCAAAAAGTACCATTTGTATGCCTTCCACAGGTCATTGTTTGGGGAGACTATGGAAGAATGGACCACAAATGCTTCATGGGGATGGCACAGATCCTACTTGAAGAGCTTGATTTAAGTTCCTGTGTCACTGGGTGGTACAAACTTTTTCCTACTTCTTCATTAGCAGACTCCAGCATTGCTCCCCTGACTCGCCGACTGTCTCAGTCTTCACTGGAAAGCTCTACTAGTCCATCCTGCACCTAACCTAGGAGGAACACATCTTTTGTTCAATCCTTTCCTCCTTTTTTGCAGCCTAACTAGTCAACTTCCTCTTTTTTACCACCAGATACACATCACAGACTGCATTCCAAAATCAGCAGGTCAATCCAGGGCTCTAGAAAAGGAGGGAGTTAGCTACGGCTAAGGCCCCTTTGCAACACTAAGTCAAAAGCTGCCAATTAAATGATACTGCAAAAAAAAAGAAACACTTTAGAGACTGTTATAATATTTAATGCAGAACAAAATCCAGATAAACCAAACAAAGACACTCCAATCAGAATATGCTCAAGAAAGCAGTCCGTATTATCTGGGTAACACAGAGAGGGCTGTAAAGTCAAAGAATCAGCTGCCTTGGCAACCTTTACTCTTCTTGAGTAAGTGTATAGCTAATGCAATTCTCCAGCACTTCAAAATGCTATGTATCATTCTGTTAAAAGAGAACAAACACAAGAAGCACACTGAATGGCACATTGATGCCAAATTACAGTATCTGGAATTAGATCAATCCCTTTCACTGAGGATATCTCACTGGCTTCTTACCCTTTCCTTGTCAGTCATTTCATCTAAACCAATTTTCTGTCCCATTCCTACTACCTACCCTCCTCAGGCAAGACAAGAGCTGCATTTTACTAAGGTGGCGACTGTGATATCATGTATATTTCATAGAGAACTGCATACAATCACAAGTATGAATGCATTTACATATATCTATATAGCAGAATGATATTTTTTCAGGTATCAGAATATTTTTTTTTACATTTATTTTGCTTTATTTAAAACGGAATGTAGCATTTCAATGTGCAATTTTAGTTTGAACAAAAAGAAATGCAGACAAGACATTCAGTGCTTCTCTTCTACACTTTCTTTTTGTGGCACAGATAAGCAATCTTGTTTAGATATATACATATAACTGCATGTCGCTTTTTGTGTGATTAAAATAAAGCATCACACTCACATTAGTTTTTTTTTTTTTATAAGTGAATTAAAGAATTTGCACTGCACCAAACCTTTTACCCCATTTCATGTCTAGAAGACCTGCTACATGCTTCTTTTCATGAAGATAATGTTCCTTGTCAAGCCAAGTTTAATGTACTAGGCAGCCCATGGCTAGCAAAAACTGTTTGCCCAGGGAAGAATACAGCAGGCCTATGTGTTCTTTTTTTTTTTGCAAATGGCATGAAAATTGTTTGTGTTTATCCTTCCAGTGCACAGCTAAAGCATCTCCTACAACTCAGATACAAAGTTCTACCTTTGACCATGGACAATGCCTAGTAATGAAAAAATAAATGCAGGAGCCAAGTCAGGATACAGGTTGGAGCTAATACTCCAGGAGCACACATGTAGCATGTGACCTGATGTAGCAATTGATCCTATTTCTTTAAGGATGTCTACAATAACAACTCAGGGCTGCAAACTGTAGTGGATATAAAATATGGGAGAAGACTAAGATCTTCTCCAGCATTGGTGGCAGAGTGTACTTTTTCTGCTAGTCTTCATCATTTTCTAACAGCACCAATACAATGCCTGCAGAGAATGATCCTTACATTAACAAAATGTTAATGTATTCCTTCCAAAAACAAAAAAATTTAATGAAAATAAAATAAGCAGGATGAGGAATAAAATAGAATATATATCATTGCTTAAGTTAACAGGCTTCATAGAGGGGTTCAGTATGGACACTATTGCACCATAAGAGTATCGACCTACAATGAACTGTGATATAAGCAAATTTAGTTTTATTATATTCTGCCAGTAGACAGTTATGGGTATCGAGGTGAATATTTTTTTACTGTCCATGATGCATCGGTGCCCAAAGGACTCAGTAAAAAGGTATATGATTATTTCCACATTTTTTTTAATTTTAGGAGTGTACCTTTGGTGGATCAACATATCAGCCACACGTAGCAGCTGGTGCCAAAGAATTCAGACTGCAAAGAAACCCTCAAAAAAGACTGATATACTGGTCCATTGAAGCAAAAAAAAAAAAAAACCTATTGTAAAAGTATATTTATTTACAAACTCCCAAAAAAGCTTTAGAGGTTATGTACATTTAAGACATTGAAATGATGTCAAAATATCAAGATTTGTCATAATGTTCATTTTGTTGATCATGTGACAGAAAACATATAATAAGATATTGGAAGAAATAAACATCTCAGTGTCTTTTCTTCCACTCAGATCCAGATATCTCATGGTTCAGCAAAGTAGTCTGATAAACTAGGTACAACCACTCCCTTGATAGGAATTTCAGTAGTAGACTTGACAGAGTTCCCCTTCCTGCTAGCTGACTGGTTATCTAGGTTGCTTGACGTCTGAGTCAAGTTGGGGGAGCTTTGTCAGCTGCATGGTTGTCAGTTGATTACTTGCAACTGCCTCAAGCTAAAACTTGAGGAAGATGTCATTTGACAACTTGAGGAAGTAAAGGGGAAAAGCCCTTTAAGGAGGATGTGTGTAAAAGCTCACTATTCAACTGCCAAAGACTATGGTTTAGTCCTTTTGTGTAGTCTGTCAACCTTTGGTGTAACTTAATTACTTGCATGAAGAATGACCTTAAGATGAAGACCTGTCTTTATGCTTTGAGCAGCAGTTGTTTGTGTCTAGTTTATTTTGTCTGTGAGCAATACCAAGTAACAAAATGCAAATGTGTAGTAATGTATTAACCCATGAGGCAGTTGATTCTGGTGTGAAACTTTCACTAGGCTAACCAGAGCCAAATGCTGAGTGGTTGCTTACTATACTGCTGCATTTCTTTAGTGTCTCCATGTGTGCCATTGACCATGTATGTTCTGCTACACTTGATTCAACCATAATTTGTAAGCCAGGGCATTTCTTATTCCTGTATCATGCCTAGATCAATATTCTGTCAACACCTTTGTAAGAATTCATACATATCTGCAGTCATTAAGTACCATTTTACAAAACTATTTGCATGGTTTGGGTTTATTTAATACGTAAGAGCAATGGGTGCTGTATCCACTGGAGACTGGTTATTGGCTAACAGCAGTTTAGAGTTCAGTTAGGTTATTGGAAACTGATAGGTTGTTATGAATGTCTGCAAACGATAAGTTTTGCATATAACATAAAGCCCTGGATGTACATATATACATTATGGGTTCTAGTACTTTTATAAAGTAAATGAGTCACAAATGTGGATAATTTAAACTAAACATGATATGAAAAAAATGTATAATCAGGTTATATTTAATGAAAACTGCATGCCAAAACAATCAGAATGCAATCAGAAAAGGTAACAATCAGAATATCTGACCCTAGGTTACCTTTGCTTCCCTTTTGGTCAGCAATACTAGCAATCACATTAAAAAGAAAAATAAGGAGACTCAAGAGAAATAAGGGATGGGAGCCCAAACTTGTAGTGTTCGTTTATCCCCGGTTCACACTAGAACACGTGCAGGAAACCCATGATCTGTGCGCGTTTCACACATCATGTTCATATCGCACTGCCTTTGCAATCTGCAGCGGGTGTAATTGCAATGTTGATGACACCCCAAACATAGGTCACAAATGCAATACGTTTGCCTGCATTGGATCGCATGGTACAAAAGTACTATGCAATCTGGTTGCAGTGTAGTACATGCACTAGTTTGGTGTGATTCAGTGCAATTTGAGCCCATTCTAAATGAATGGGCTCAAATCGCACTGCACTGATTCACATGGAAACAGCATAGGAATGCAGTGTGATTCATAGGTTATTTATAGTGTGAACCCAGGCTTAATGTGAATGGCTTTTCTTACCAGCAGGGAGGCAAAGGATTTACAAAGGGAAGGTGTCAGGCTGACTTCCACACAAAAAGTTCTGATTGCTTTGAGCAACAACTTTCCTCTGATAGTTCATTTTCATTGCAGTTTAAATTGCCCAGGTTTGTGACAGATGTTTCCTATATTCACTTTAAAAAACGAATTAGGTACCTCAACCTTGCAGTGGGTAGCACAACTTATTTGATCTTCACTTACAAGGACAAAAATAATCTTGCAACATTTTCTGATATCAGTCCCACCCAAGTAGTTTCAATGAGCAGAAGTGTGTGTTAAATAATATAATGTACATACAATATACAAAATTACAGTACTGAAGCATTAAAATGATTTACAATTTTAGGTACAGCTAAATTGAATACAAATGGTAAACCATACAGCACCATGTTTCACTCAGCAAGACATTTACAGGGTACTCTATATCTCAACTCTGAACCCCCAAGCTGGTGACCATAAGTGGGTAGAAACAGGGTTGATCTATCAATGCAGTTACAGTATAAGAATTTTCTATCCTTGAGGAACAGTCCTAATAATAAATGTATCCACTTGATCTAAGTAGTAGCCTTATGCAAGGAAATTGGTGTCAGTTGGGATGGGAGTATGGCCATTCATACCTTTACTGCAACCATTTTATACAAATGATTTTCATGGCTTTTGTTTTTTATGTATGGGTTGTCTTTAGATTATGTTCTTTTGCATGGTCACTTCTGAACATCTTTGAGAAACTTTAATCAGAATCCTGACTGTACTTATTCAATTTGCAGACTCTCTCCCATATAGAGTTGCCACCTCATCCCTTTAAACCCGAACACATGAATTACAGAGCTTCTGAGGCTAATTTAATGCAGATAAGGCACTAAGGTGTCAGTTTATGACACAAAGAATAGCTGCGATTCAGAGGATCGCAGCTATTCTCTGGTCATTCACAGTTTATGACACTCGGGAGATCAGCGGAGAACATGTTCAGCCCTTCACTGGAGATCTGTGTTCTCCCTCCAGATTCTCCAGCCCAGAGCTGGAGAATCGGAGGAACCGCAAACTAAGCAGCGATAATTTACCTCTGCTTAGTAAACTGATTTTATA